CCCGGGCGCCGGATGGGCGATCCGCGGGCTGAGCTTTCCCGCGCCGCTGGGAAAGGTTCTCTTGAGGCGAACTGCGCTTCGCGCGGCCTGCGCTGCGCCTGCCGGGCGCGGCTGCGTCTCGTGCGATCAGGGACAAACAAAGAACAAAATGCGATCTTCCTCCCTTCGAATTACGCTTTCAGCTCCACCCTCCTTTTCTTTTAATCAGCGCTAAGATTTATATGCAATAACAAGTATCTAAAGTTCATATGCCGCATATGGAGTAAAGTATGGACTAACAATTGATTAAAATAGCTAAAGTAATGTAATAAGCAAATGTTTGAGTCTCTTAAAGGGCTTAATTTGAATATTAACTGCAAAACAAGATTTAATAGAATACAGAACATTACAGTGTTACTGAAAGTAAGACCTTTCCTGACAATCGCCATTTACAAAGTCACTGGTTTACAAAGTACTGTTTTAAATGTAGGTTACGTCCATCTTGAACATGGCAAAATAGTATGTTCCAAAAACCAGATCTACTTCTAAACTTGATTTACCACTTTAAATTACATATTTCAAATTGCACAGTCAAACATATTGCAAGTAAATACACATAGAGATATTCATTTCTTTAAATATGAGAAAATCTATACTATGCCTGCAAATATGGTCAAATACATTTATACAAATACGTACTATCAATTATATGTATCAAATTTGATACAAATATGTTTCAAATCACTTAAAACAACAACAACAAACGAATTCATCAACATACCTCAAAGATTAGTATCTTGACCATAATTAATGAACAAATAAACATGTAATGACATACCAATCCTACTTCTGTTCCTAATCATGTTTTGCTTCCCATAATTGCAGGACAGCTTGCCGCTTTACCGGCCCGTGCAGGATTATCTGAGAAATGACTCCGTATTGTTTTGTTCAGGCCAAGGCCACTTTCTACAGCTGCCTTCTCACGGCCCCGCCCACACAGGCAGCGGAGGCGTCGAGGTGAAGGATGTGTGCTGCGCGCGGCTCTTGAGAAAAATGAGGACTCATCTCTCATACAAAAACGAATATTGTAAATACTTGAGCAATAACACCAATTATAATATACTATTTAGTGGGTAGCTTGTGATCGCTTAGCCTCCAACTGAGTCACTGAGTGAATATTTATCGATTTCGGACGCCTCAATTACTTCGGCCCGGGAGGGGGTGGGGTTCCACCCCTTCTGGAGCGTGAAATCCGGCGCCGACATACACTTTGGTTTGGAGGGTTTCTCCCTCCGAGTATTTCCCCCAGACGGGTCACCGCTCCCCCCCCCTGCCTGGACGATCTCTTAAGCTCCCGGCCGCTTATCTATTAACGTTCTCATCGGATTTACTACCATCTCTGCCGTTCCATATTTAAAGTATCGAATAGCTTACTAAAGGAAACAATATCAGTTTTTTACAGAAATACAAAAAAACCTCAATACACTATGAAACAATTGGCTCTCCTGAGAAGATGAGACAGGGACAGACTGCTCAAGTTTGAGGTGCTTTTGGTTCTTTTCCTTACCCAGGGTGTGAGTGCTGGTATCTGTGCATTATGCGATCATTTTCCATTCACTTTTAAGGATCACAACAGAAGTCGTAATCATGAAGATTGTTCTAGAAGATTTACTTGTGTGTGGGCCTCTTTTCACCAGCCAAAATGCAGGTGACGTTTCGCTACGGTCTGCTACCTATCAGGTTGGCAGGTTTCGAGGCGACGGGCTGAAGGACGATTCATTTGGTGTGACAAGTTGGAGTGATGGAGTTGGAGGATTGCATTGCACTTTTCTAACAAAATATTTTCTTAGGTAACATTTTGAATTGCAACCATGTTGCAACGCTGAAAATAATACGCAAAAGTTTAGGAGCTGCTGTGGCTGCTGTAGTCCAAACATTTTTATGTAACTTACTCCAGTTACATCCAGGCATACATACACTTTTAACCTATAAAAATATCGTTATTCGAAGTACAGCTGTAGATGTAAAATTCTAGAAGCTGTTTCGTCTCACTTCCGTTACATGTCTTGTGTGACTGAAAATGTTTCCCAAAAGAACATATACATTTTCCAACCGACTCAGTTTTCCCGGCGCGATGCATCGCCACTCCCGCGCGCCTAATGCACGGCTGTTCGACTTCTCGCTGGCGCTCAGGCTCGCACCAGCAGGCCCTCTCCCTCCGGGCTCCTCTCCCCACGACCGTAGCTCGCAGCACACTCGCTGTCGTAGTCTCCGTAGTGCCTGCCGTCTCGAACTGTCACTGTGCTGTCTGGAATGGCGCTAGTTTCTTGGTGCCGGCCGGCCCGTTTTATACCGGGCGCTGCTCTAGGCAGAGACTCGCACCCTGCCTCGGCGTATCCCCCCCCCCCAACTGCTGCTTCCCGCAGCCCCCGCACGCGCGCTGCGCATGCGCGCGGCAAGTTCAAATTCTTGCCGTACACAACAGTCATACGTCTCATCAACTGGATTAATGGAGAGATACTCATGAGTATCTTCTTCAATCGATGCTAATTATCTAGTCAGCAAATGTACTTATTGTTCTCATATATGAAAATATTGTAAATAAAGGTTTAATAAAAATATTCTGCATGCCTTTTGATTAAAACATTTTTCTTTCAGGACACACCTCTAGACATTCGGTATTGCCGGGGGCTTTCTGATAGAGTCGCGCAGTTCAACCAGCAAGCCAACAGGCACAGCGAAGGCCAAGCACGGAACCCTTTTTCGCAAGCTGGAGGAGTAAATTTACTGGGCAAACCAAAGTGGGACAAAAATGATGCTGAATATGGCAGGTACGTCTTTTACGAAGCCATTTCTTCAACAATCACTGAATTGATTAAAATCGAATATTTGTTTGAAGGCTTTCAACTCAGACACACAGACAAACGTTTTGCCATCAAACGATTTTTCTGTGTCAAGGATCCACAAAACTTGAATTCTTAGTGCACAACATGTAGTTTACTGCATGTAGAAACACGATTTATTGGCATTTTCGTTACCAGGGACCGGCAACAACAGTTTTTCCATCGAAAAATCGCCTTTTCCCCGCAGTAAGCAGTACGCCAGAAAGAATAAAAATAGAACTTAGTTTTAGCGCTTCTCCACCTTTGAAACTACTTTTGACTTGAAATATATTTTGAAAATGACTGCAACAGTTGTCAATTTATTTTAGTGTTTGTTATAAATTTGTGTAAATTTTGTGGCACCCAGTGCGTTTTTGACCGAAGAATTCAGTTACAAATTTTCGTAATTTTAAATCTTTATAATTCTTTGTGGACTATATAATACGCTAAAGACAAATGTGAGTCTTTGGTAGTTTGTGGCATTCCATGGCACTCCAGTCCATCATACGAAAGATGGAAGTTTAAAGATTATGACTCACAAAGGAAACTACTGCAACAGAGGCGTATGATTGAGAAACAACGCGCCCTAAACCTTCTAAATCAACTTTATGTGTCCTGTTTTGACATGGGGATTTTGAGGACAGATGGCAGGAAACGAGATTTAGGGGTCGGTGGGGGCAATCTGGGGGATTTTTGGAACTTTTCTATTTAATAATGTTTGGCACATCGAACATTACATTTTCCCTCTTCATTATTTATTAAATGACTCTTTATAAAATACGACAAAGGTAGAGAATGCATCAATATTCGCGTACTAAAATACTGAATTATGAGTTGTATAACACAAATACGCTGGAGTACCAAAATGTCTATTAGCATGCTGAGAAATTAATTTTGCCTTGTGTGTTCGCAGGCCTGTCGCTGGTTCGAAGACCGACATTCGAGGAAAACGAGCTCACTCTCATATCACCAAAGAAATCTTGGAGCTTTGTGAAATTATAAATGAAAATGGAGAGCAAATTGAAGGACAAGTGGTTATTAGTTTTGGAGAACTGTTTAATGTAATACTCTAAGCTTCTTCTTACTCCATATTTTTATGATAATTATGATTATGGCCAAATATGTCCCCTTAGAAATTAATATTTAGAATTAGAATATTAATAATAGCTAGCTGAACCCTTGCGATCACATTGCACAAAAGGAAAAGCTGTAGAACACTACTTATTCACTACGGAAAAGTTCTTCTGTATTCTCGAAAACACCAAATATATAGTTTCGTGTCGTTCACTAATTATTTGCGAAAACCTAAAAGAGGAGGTTAACAAATTCCGAAACAATACAATTACGATTCACTGTGAACATATAGATTAACATTATTCAGAATATGTATTTGAAATGTTTTCTATTTACCAAGATCAGAACTTATAAAGATAATGTTGATTATAATGATGATGGTTTATTTCCATCTTGGACGATCTGGGAGGCCAAATCATTCGCTCGAATTGTCCAGAATGTTGGGCAAACCAACCGCGAACAACTGTGGCCCGGTGACATGGCGCATCTATAAACATTCCATCGCTGTTTAGGAACATAAGTTCCAAGAAAAGCTGCAAATGGTCTACAGTAGCTGATCGTAACTATTTACAGTCAATGATCAGTTCAGTTAGACCAGAGGACACAGTCAATTCCATATAAAAACAGCCCATACCGTTGTGGAGTCGCCAGCAGCTTGCACAGTGCCTTGTTGACAATTTGGGTACACGGCTTCATGGCGTCTGCGCCTCACTCGAACCCTACCTTCAGCTCTTACCAAATGAAAATCACAGTTTTCCAGTCGTCCAGATAAACGATGTGGTCGCGAGCCCAGTAGAGTCGCAACAGACGATGTTGTGCTGTTAGCAAAGGCAATCGAATCGGCTGCTATAACCCATTAAAGCCCAATTTCGCCCCGCTAGCCTAACGGATACGCGTATGTCCTACATTAATTTCTGTGCACGTGTATTTCACGCAGTGTTGCTCGTCTGTTGGCAATGACATCTCTTCACCAACGCCGCTGCTCTCACATTTAGTCATTAAGTAAACACCGCCGGCCACTGCGTTGTCCGTGATGAGAGGGTCTGTCTGAAATTATATATTTTAAGCTCTCTTTTCACTGTGGATCTCGGAATATTCAATTCCCTACCGATTTCAGAAGTGGAATGTCCAAAACGTCTAGCTCCAACTTTCATTTTGCGTTCAAGTCTTAATTCCAGTTGTGTGGTAACAATCACGTCAGAAACCTTTTCACATGAATCACTTGAGTACAAATGAACGCTTTGCCAATGTACTGCCCCTTTATACGTTTTGAACGCGGTATTGCTATTCCATGACCTTTGTCACCTCAGTGTGTAATGTATAACGTGAAAATAATTGTTCACCACGACGAGCATTTTTTAAATGATTTTACACAAAACTGTGAATTTATTAAATATTTAATATTTGTGTAAACCCAAAGATGTCTCCAATTAATTAGGTACTAATTGATATTTCCAGATATACACACACATCTCCAACAAGGTTGTGGGATTACTACTCCGCGGAAGGAAGCAGAAAATAGTTGACTTCGAAGGAGAAACTCTATTTCAGGTAAGCTGACGAATTAAAAAAATTCTTTAAGGCCAATTAGGAATGGCATGCACATTTATAACCGTCTCTATTTGAGGTTTTCTCACTCTCTTTACGCTATATAATCCACCCTTTTACTTTGTTTTTCATTCTCTCCTCAGAACACTTTCTAATTATTTGCCATTCTTGCATGTCCTTCATTGGAATCTTCACTTTCAACATCTTATTCTAGAATCTTTCCAAAAAATTTTAAACTCTTGTGTCTATGATGTCGATTGCCTTCTCTCCCATGGGTATTTGAAAAACTGTTTTGTAAAACCGTTAGCACAGTACAGACACGTTTTTGGACTCTCACACCTGTCTTAACAAATAAGTAAAAACAAATAATTTTACAGAGATATGAATTTCATTTTCAATTTATAAGCAATAATATTTGTTGAATAAACGCGTCTTAATCAGACACTCACAAATGCTATTTGTTAACACGCGGCCCACATACCTATTTCAGTCGTCCGCAATTAGAAAAGCAGGTCCCGGGACCCTAAAGCCTGTTTTCGAGGCAGAAAAGGTATCATGTTTCGTTTCTCAGGCGCCTTCCTAACATACAGAATGAGATACCGAATCAACTGCTAAAGGCTGACTACAAAAATTCACATACTTCATTATTTTACAACTCATTGCCAGATAACATTAAATGATAATGGTCGATACACACGTTTAAGTGTCAAGTAAAATATTTAGTGTTGCATATCTGTTTCTATACAATTAGTACTATACCGAGCGTGAAAAAGGAAGAAAATAGTATAAATTTTAAGAATGATATTGAATGTATCAATGACAATGTATAAATTACTACCATCTCTGTCATTTTTTTTCGTTCAGTTTCCCGGTCCCTTAGAGCGAATGCTGAGATGGCCCCTTGATTTTTTTTTTTTTTTTTGACACTCATGTACCTTCACTGTCTGTGCATGTCATCTAGAGTTCTTTTGGAAATATAGTTATTCAAATTATTGTACTCCTTGTTCTAACGGCAGGAAGTCAATTCCTTTGCGAAGGGCACAGTGAGGGACAATAGCCAAAAATCTATAGCTTACTTGCCTTTGAACATTGGAGTTTTTCTGGAGCGAATTTTCTTATCAATTCTTATCAAAAATGTTCATTTCCATCAGTATTCAGAATTCAACTTGTTCGGGTAGAAAACCCACAATTTAAGAAAATGTGCACTGAAAACACGTTCTCCCATAGCACGTCACACAGTTTTAATCTGTTTTTGACATTAAATTAATAAATAAGATCTTGTAGAATTTCTGTTTTATGGAACCCGCACTCCGTGGAAGGGATGTGTAATGACTCGAATTCTATGAAATATCTGTCGCCAACATACTTCGTATTGTGAAGAGCGAAGGGTGAGTTCCAGATAAGAGATGCTGAGATTTAAGCTTTTGTCATTGATCTTATTATTATTATTATTATTTATTATTATTATTATTATTATTATTATTATTATTAACTAAATGATGTAATATCGGAAGTAATTTATTGTTTCAGAGGAGGATGACGACGTACCTATTATGCTTCTCAAGTCAATAGAAGAAATTCGTGGGCACTTCAAAGCACTACAGGAAGAGAAAGAGAAGGAAGACAAAAACGGAGGGAACTGAAATATTTAGCAATCGCATGCGCTTCCTCAGGAAGCTAACATGAATTACCAAAGATTCTTTGTGAAGATACTAAATATAATTAGTTTATTTATTTGTTACTTCAGTAACTATGACATTGTAATCTCATCTTTTGAATCATTTCAAGAATTGTATTACTTACAACAATTATATTTTGTTACTTATTTTTTCCCGCAATTTAAAGAGAATATTACTTCACGTTAATTAATATTAAAAGTAGTTTACTTTTGGAGTGAGTATTATTTTTGTTGATTTATAATATGTAATATAAAAAATAAATAACATGGTACTGGCAGTCCATTAGTGAAAGTAATACATCTTCATTTAAGTGAATATAGATACATGTGTGCCCTAACTTCCATTTGAAACATTTAGGAAGTGTGCAGAGTACCTAGATTTTTAACACTGAATTCAGTTTAAGATTGTTTCCACAAACCTGGAATCATGCAATAATATTACCTTTCAATAAACCTTAAACTCATCCAAATAATAAAACGAACTGTAAATGTACAGCACGAACCCTTCGAGGGATACATACACCTCAACCCGTTTTTGTTTGATGAACATAATAAACAAATGCATTGAAAATCCAGATGATGCCTCACTTTGCATTTGTATCGCTATATCTGGAGTAACAGGCGTTGTCCATGTTATTTTCTAAGGATACTCGATCCAAGTGGAGGATTTGAGACATTAGCTGAAGATTGAATACTTTAACATTTAGACAATTCAGCTGGCTGGATGTCATGGCGGGCATATTTACGAGTCCTTTTCAACCAAAAGCGTGCGAATTTCAAAGCAATATGCTAACAAATGACCCTCGCAGAAGACAAGTTCTTCCCTTCTTCATCCTTGTCCCTCACTTTTCCTTATACACACTCACTCGCTGGACACAATACATTTTCTTATGACTCGAGAGACAAGTCGGGACCTTAGGGGACGAGCTCCAGGTTGGGACAGAGAGAGGAAAAATCAGACGCGCAAATCGGCGCCTAACCACGCGTTGCAGTGGGGTGAAACAACCCCAGCACCAGGATTAACACGACCAAACTAACGAGAAAAAACATGCAGTTCATGGGGCTCAAACACACTAATAGTTCAAAAGTAATATGTATGTATGTATTTGGCTTCTTAGGATAGGATTAATATCACCTTTGCCAGGTAGCAATGAAAAAAACCTCAGCCCTAATTTTTAATTTTATCATCCACATCAGGAAGTAAATAAGACATGTGGCGAGAATACATATTCTATCATCGTACCAAGTATGCATAGCCTTCCTGAAACTTTTCTAACAGTTGTAGACTCTGGGCCTACTTGCAACAGAGAAATCGTTTTCGCTCAACACGACAACCGTGGTCGAAACCCCCTACATAGAATGCTAGAACCAATACCAACTACCGAAGTATACATGCAAAATATTGAAACAATATATCAAATTAAAATAGTTTTTATTGTTAATTAAAACAAAGCAAATTTTCACAAGTTTTACTAAAACTAATTATTTACGAATGGGAATACCTATCCCCACAAATATAAGACTAATGCTTGCAAGGCAGAGAGGAGAGAAATTGCTAAAGTAGTTGGTAGAAATATTGGCCGGGGCAGGCTGAGACCCTGCCGCCTTATCCCGCATAGAGCGGAGGGGTTGATATTGGCGTTCGAAGTTACTCGCGTCGTTGTGAAGTGCAGCGGAGACAGGATCACCCGCAGCTATTGCCGCTGAGACCCTGCCGCTTTATCCCGCCTAGAGCGGAGGGTATGATTTTGGCGATCGTAGTTTCTCGCGTCGTTGTGAAGTGCAGCGGAGACAGGATAACCGGCGGAGATAGAATCCTACAACAAAGACGCAACTTGGCTCTAATCTTAAGTTGATGCAGGCGACAAACTAGTTGAAACTGTGGAACATTAACGAATGATGGAAACTGGACATCGTCCGCACAATTTAAGACATGGTAACTGTAAATATTCCGGGATTGATAAGATAAAGCATTATTGGATTAAAAAATTAACAACTTTACATTCTTTTGTAGCAAAGTATGTTAATAAAATTTTAGCTCACACGCGGCATCACTTATTTGCTTCCCAAAGCTGGAGATAATTCTTAGGTGAAGAACTACACGCCAGTCATTTTTGTCTGTCATTGTTGAATGTTTTAATTGTAGCCAAGCTAACAAAATTGATTTCATTCCAGTCGAATTGACTTTTGCAAGGCTAGTATGAAGTCGTGGAGTTAAAGATTAGTAATACACAGTGGAAAGGGAGATGAAGAAACAAGAAGTATTCAGATTAGCCTGGGATTTTTCATGGAGGTTCACTATCCTCTCTGCTGTTTTAAATTAGTTTGAATCCACTATCGAGACAGTTGTTGCACGCTGACATTTCTTATATCCTCCATGGTGGAGTGCGAACAGTGTTTTACATGGATGATTTTCCAAATGCTAAGAATGAAGCGATTATCTCCCATAAGCTGTCTCCAATTGTTTTAGCAATGACAATGCATGAAATTTGGTCTTGACAAATATGCAAAAGTCAATTTAAAAAGAGGCACAGTGACTACTTCAGAGATCATTGAAATTGATATGCACACTGAGCACCAGGTAAAACAAATATCTGGGAATTGAAGAACATCTCGAACGACACAATGAAAGAGAGAATTTGCAGTGAGTATTACAGAAGAGTGAGACTTGTCCTGTAGCCCGCACTGAATTTCAGGAATAAAACATCTGCAACAGATAGTTCGCCGGTGCCTGTCGCCGATTACAGTTTCGGACTAGTAGACTGGACTGTCGTCGAAATTCGAATCATGGATCGAAAAAACAGAAAAATGCTAGAAACGTATCATGTAGCCCACTCTCCAGCTGATATACATAGGCTTTATGTGTATCGTAAGGAGGAAGAGGCCTCAAGCAAATTGAAGCCTCCTGGCACAATGCAGTAGTCGGGATGGGAAAGATGACTGAAGAGTATGAAACATGCATTTATAAGCATCGAGAAGCATAGCGAATAAAACTATGCAAGACAATTAGAGTATTACAGACATTGAACATATTATGCTTGTGAACAAGAGATGTGAGACACAAAAGAATGTTAAATAATCGTGGGGAGACCAACCACTCTACGGACAATATTTAAAAAGAATGAAAAAGATGCAGATCAATAAATATCAATCATTTATATAAGCATCTGAATTAGTTTTAATAGCAGTCCCAGATCAGGAGTTGAGAACAAGAAATTATGATAAAGCGATTATCAAAATTTCCCAAGATGATAATTCTGCATTTATAAGAAACAAATAAAAACCACTGATCATATTGCCTCAGCTTGTCCAATTCTAGCAATGACTGAATGCATGAAAATACATGATATGGTATGTAGTTACCTCCACTGACATCTGTAATGCCCTCGAAGTTGCGAACACATGCTCCAAATAGTACGAACATTCACCAAAATTGTTGACGTCTGTTGGACTGCGTACAATATTGTACGTAAAACAAATTCAAACTGATCGCACTATACTGGCAAACAAACCGTATATTGTTACTCGGAATTTGGAGAAAATGTGTCTTGTTGTAGATGTGACTGTGCCGTGCGATTCAAACATCGTTACCAAGGAGGCAAAGTAACGTCTTAAATGCAATAGTTTATAAATCGATATCAGCCAAATGTGGGCCGTAAAACCATAGGTCGTTCCGATAGTTATCGGAGTTCTGAGATTTGTTCCGGAAAAATTGTGCAAGCACTTGACTAACCTCGCAGGTCTCTCAAACGACTAGGAAAGGCGACATTGCTTTATTGAGAACAGTCTACATTTTGTGCAATGTACAGTAGAGGCACCGACTGTCCGTAGAACTGCTCCTTAGGAAGCTGGTTACAATCTGGAGTAGGTTTTATGTTGAACCGACTCATAACATATTTAGTCGTGAATTAGATTAATAATAATAATAAGTCATCTCCGGCCAGAGCGCGTATTTCATTAAGAGCTGCCGCATCAGCCAGCTCCCGTGCGGCCGGGCGGTCCGACTCGCCGGCCGGCCAGCAGGTAGGCGGGCGGGCGACCGACTGGGCGATGGATCAAAAATAAATTTCTTTGCGTAATTAATTAGCAATTAAGTAGTTCTAAAAGTTTCTAAGTTTAAAAAAGAAGAGAGGTCATTGGTCATTGTTGCACCTCCTGCCTTATGAAATGAATCTTTTATTTCGTGACCGCCCTTCTCAACGAGGCTCGTGGCCCCAGAAATGTACTTACCACTGTTAAAAATATTTATTTTATAAGGAAGGAGGTGTAACAATGACCTAATGTCATCGGCATCTGAAGAAAAATTGAAGTATAATTGATCGCGCATGCCGAAAGGCGCAATGCCCAAAATGAAAATGCATGCCTGATCAGAACGACGATAAAGCACAATTCTCCTTAACAGGCCTCACTCCGACGTACCAGTATATGAAAAAGTAATAATATTGATTTAAACTTCAAACCGAACAAAAGGCTCATAAGAAAATAAAGAAGTAAGGAAAGCTCAGATATTTCAAGTCAAGGAATTAAAAAACTGCTCATTGAATGAGAACAGGCGGATCGTTGAAATTAGTAAAAGCACACGAAAATATTTTGAATAATTAGAGAGCATCAGAAATAAATTGATGAGGGCTCATTAAGCAAAAGTTTAAAAATATAATGAATAGTAAAACTAAAAGTGGGGAAGACATAAAGAAAAATAGAAATTTGGGCCAAGTGAAAGACAAATGCTCGATTCGTTACGACAATATTCGATTTGTTACATTGATACCAACTTCTGCCCTACACTCATCGCCCTTTTCTCAGCGTTGCCCACATTTTTAAGGTGAAATTGTGATATCCGTTGATTGAAGTTGTGCATCCGTTGACAGTGTGCTAAAAATTGTACTAATAGGCATTTTATAACATCTGAATCTAACCCATCACCTATGTGGACTAATCGATGATGTCACTCCGAAGCCCACTGCCCCAGCCGGGACAAGCTCCAAGCTGCTTCGGGCTGATCTCACATTCGGGCATGGGTGGCAGTGTAGTGCATCCAAGGGTAAGTGTGTAAGAAGAAGGTGAGGAAAGTACAAGGATGAGGAAGAAAAGGTCCATGGCCCGTTTGTTACGATACTGCTCCGGCATTCACCAGGCGTTGATCGGAGGTGAGAGTGGACGTCTGGGGCGGGGTCCGTGAGCATTCGGGAAGAGCTCTAGCAGACGACCTCGGCCCAAGGGCTGGGATGGGGCCTTTCATGTACCGCGGTACGCATTTCACTGTTACATTTAACAGGAAGCGCCCAGAAAATAGTGACCTTCAGAGGCAGATTAACCTGGCGTGAAAGTGCAACGAAAATAAAACATATTTACGATTTCAAATATCAATATTGTTCTCTCAAATTCGAAGAGACGCTGCGCTTCCAACACGTCCATTGACGCTATGCTTCTGAGAGATTTATTACTAGAAAGTATTACGGAAAGATGAGACTACCAAGGCGGCTAGCACCCGACTCGTTGGTTACGAGCGTCAGCTCGGGTTGCAAACATCACTAGACCGTATTGACTCTGTAGCGTCCTATCTTTAATACGTCTCAGTTTTATTAAAAGTAAACCACTCATATTTTTACGATCTCTTATAGAAAAAACGTATGTTTAAAACTTAGGTATCGAAGCTGCGATGGAAATGCACGTAAAGGGTCTTTCTAGTCAATGTTCGTTAAACCGCCCGTTCGTTTGTCCGTCTCGTACGTCCTTTCGTCCGTCCGTCCATCCACCGCGTTTTACGGATAGGACAAGCGACGTTTAAGAGAATGTTGCAGAGCTCATTTTCATTAAATTTTCTGCATTTTCGTACATTTCAAAAGTTAGGAATAAAGCGAGAATGTATCTGCTGTTGTAGAACCAAGTTATGAAGCAACTCATACCAGTAACCTGTTTGATAATATTCCTCCGGGTAGACTCGCCCATTTTGACATGTTAAGCACGTTACCAGTAGCGTAACGAACTGAGCGCGACCCCGCCCGCAAAACGTTTATGCGGGCCGCTTTCATAAAAGAGTACAGCAAACACGTAGTGTTAGTACTTTAAATATTAAAACTTTGCCATCTTGCACCTGGGCCCGCCCGCATTGCGGGCCTTGCGTTCCGCCCCTGCACGTCACGAGAACGAGAGAAGATTCTACTTACGTTCCGAAGCCGCAGCGCAGCGCCCCGATCTCTCGCCTCGTGCCCCGCGCCCCGCCGGCCACGTAATGCACCGAGTCACACTCAATTTTAACTCTCGCCTCTGCCGCTGCAAGCGCCACCGCGCAGTTTTCTACGTATACTTATTACGGTTTTGACGTTTTTGAAGTGGCGATGAGCTCCAAACTTCGATTTATGCAATTTACCTAAAACAATCATTGGTATGTACCATTTTACCGTATTCCCATAGCTAAAATAATTAAAATAAAACTTAAGTGCAAAGAAAGACTCGTCTTATTATTGTACTTTGGCTTTTGAGTCAATGACTCGATTAATTTTTTGTCCACTTTACCAGTAATTAAACTCTGAGACGGTCCCATGTATTGCTTTTGGAAATAAGCGAAGATTCATAATATGCACGTGTTAAGTTTTCCTCTTATAATAGAAGAAGGGTCTGGGATAATGGGTTGTAATATTTTAGCAATATTATAAATCAAATATTGTAGTTCGTTTGCTGGAAAAATAATGGAAATTTCCAGAAACTTCATAAAAAACTATCTGTAGCGTTTGGGATCAACAAAAACTGTTCATTAATATTAATGCATTTATTAAATGTAACCAATATTTATTGTCTTTTACATCTATTTTATCGTTTAAGTATCCTTTTCTTTAAGAGAAGAATAATACGTACAATGCGTAACCATAAGAATTTATTAATTTTTGTCTGAATTACGAAATTGAACAAAACATTTCGTGGACAGTTGTGATCGCTTCATGTTGTGTTACTAAGTTGTGCAGGTGCAGAATGAAAGGTCACAAGCTCAACTTTGTTATAGTTGCCTATTTTGTATTGTTGAACCAGAATCGTAATTTCCGTCAATTTATTTGCTAATTAACATTTCAAAAGCACCATCTGGCATATTTAAAAGATCAAATCAAATGCAATAAAAAAACACTTTTTATTCAAATGGACATACTAAGTTCAGGACCATCTATTTAGTTTACTGCAATGGAGAATGTATTAAATTTAATTAAAAAACAACAAAATTTAAAAATGGGTGAACAATGTTTGATATATTTGGTTTATTTCTCGTCAAAGAATGATTGAGGCTGTTGCGTTTTCCACAGTCGGGCACACAGTAGCCAGCCTTCTATCCCTCCTGGCACAAAAGCCAAGACGCAGATACAGACCTTTGTTTTGCTGTAAACCAATATTTCTGTATCATGAACCTATAACATGTGAAATATGACTACACAACGTGATAGAGGAAGTAATTTGTTGCAAATTAAGGGGTCCACACCAGATGCAAGGAAACTTCGGTATCATTAACTAATATTCTAAACATAACATTTTCTCTACACTTTTTTTAAGAAACGTCTTTTCGAAGATACATATAATTATTTCTTTGTGACATGCTCCTTTGCCACTTTAACCGACAGTTGTCTGGTCTGAGTAAGTTTAACCTCTTCGACTGCCACTCTCGTCGCCATGCGGCTGCCCCAAGGTCCCGAGTCGTTGCAGTCGCTTCAAGGAATTTTTCTCTGTCAGTGAAATTGCGCTAGTAAACGCGCAGAAAAATATCGCTTCTCTGACTGGTGTGCACTTCATGGATGGAGGTCACATCGAACATAATAGAACAAATTTTCAAATTCAAATGCGCAGTTCAAGTTGTGTTGACTTGTCAGAATACGGGAAAAATCTAGTTTTCGGCGTGATTGAAGGGAACTCTATGCATCAATTTTGCCAAGACCTTCACTTCTTTTTTGTACTAGAAATTTAACCCATACTGTAATTTTATAATTAGCGTTAATAATATTTGTGCGTCCTTTCGGTAAGTTATCTGTTTTTTCTTTTCAAACAATCTCACAACGTAAAGGGATGTATTGAAAATGCATTTTCATTTTGAAATTCTTAAAACGACTTTCCCTATTAAAATACGAATGAACTGGTGCTATGTTATGAAACTATGGAATGTTAGACTGTTTATTTGTCATATCAAATAACAAAAGACAGAAGCAAAGTGTACAGTTAACTCACTAACAGAAAAAAGTCTTGTGTCCGTAGGCTTTCGTGGCCGGAGTCATTGAATACCCACCCCACGAAAAAGTATTTTTGATTCCCATTATGCAATATGTTCATTTTAAAGTTTTTACACATGCTCTAATAATACTATTCCTTTCCCATCTGTAGGAAACTGTGACTTTTGCAGTGATATTGCTATCAGTTTTAATTATATTAGACTTTACGAAATGTTGACGTCACGAAACGTCAAGGGACAGTGGTGTTTATTTCAATAATAGAATGTAAGGTCGTTGATGAAGTGATCGTGAGTGCATTTCTTTATCCATCTCTCGCGCTTTTCTTGTGCAGTCAGTTAGTATAAAAGAATGTTGAGCCTGCACTGCGAAACCTTTTCAGTGTCCAAAAATCAAAATGTAAAAATGAATTCAAATATTTTTTGATACTTCGAAGTAAATACAAACAAGGGGAGACATTTTTGTGAGAGTGATGAAGTAAATATTTGTGAACATGTGTTATGAAAAATTGCACAAATCACGTAAAGTAGTCGTATATCGACGAAACCGTCTTGAGATACAATGCTCGTGTTGCTACTCTGAACATTTTCTATTTTTTCCACCTTTTCTGGGACCACTAAAGAAGGAACATTACTCCACCTTTCCTGGGACCCACATCGGGTTTTTGTTGAAAAATTGTCGCTTTTCGCAGCAGCATTTCAATTCTTCTATATAAGTACGAGATGGAGGAAAGTAAAAACGGTGGCATACGTAATTATAATGAATTGTATTGTTTTACTTTTGTAGGTATGTTTCCTTTTCTGTCGTGAGATGTTTATCAAATTATCGTTTACATTCTCCTTGTTTAAAAGTCAATTGTGTACTTTTGTTCGAATTATTTTTATAGTCATTTGAGATTTTTTGGTCATCATTTTTTGTTGGTCATTAATTGATTTTTATTTTGTGTACATACTATTGTGATAATTCCAAAATGTATATCCGGCGTATTTACGGAAATGTGTGAGCGGGGCTACTGATACTCTGCTATTGATCGTCATTATTTCATTAAATAACAACCACAACTTGTAATATGAAAAAACTGGACATAATACAATTTAAATATATAATTTTTGGAAGCATAACTTTGTTAAAGTATTCGTCATAATTATCACCAGTATATACATGATCACGGAGTTTCACCAAAAAGTCATAGCAACTTTCTTCAGTATATTGCATGTCAGGCAAGAAATTTTCAAATGCAATATGAGGTTGTGCAAACGTTTATTTTAATTCTCAACAAAAAATGTTGCATTGGGATAACGAAAAGAAAGGCAACAGCAGCAATGTATTTACATGACCAATGCGTGTATTCCTTTAACAACAACAGTATAAGTCATTTACAGAATAGAAACAGTTTGTTTGCATCGCAATTGCACACTCGACGCAGTCCTTCGTTGAATCTTCTTTTGTTTTAGGTTAAATCACACTATTATTGTGGCAACGCAGACTGCTCAAAGCTTAATACCTTTCTTTAAGTGCTGAAACTTGCTGCTACAACTAACAGTAAAGATTATTTGCTCTGTAGTCTTGGAGACTTTCCTAGGTAATTACACTTAACTAATCTTCCATCTAATCAAATCCTTAAGAGCCTAAGAATCAAGTTACTGAAGTTGAGATTCAATTTTCCTGTGGTAAATGTAGTTTCTGGGCAATGAAACAATATTGTACATAAGCTACTTCTTATATACTATGTTCTGATTCACCTTGAGTCAATATTGTGAAATTGAAGATTATGAATTATACAAATTTTAGCAGATATTAACATTAATGGAATGAGTAATCTGATAATGAAATAAAATAGTTCACATAATCACTGCACATTAAGAAAATTAAATGAAAATATATTTTTCCTTAAGTAGTACATGCTACACATTTTCCTAAAGGCTGTAACTTTGCTTCGTCAAAATTCATTAAGATTTTCCACCATAAGTGCATTGCTTCTTTTCAACTAGTGTCTGCTCTCGTCTTGGAAGTAGTGTTGCAAAATAATTACCAGAGAATCAAGAACAATTTCGTCACTTATTCATGGTGTTTCATGCAAATTCTAGTCTTAAAGTAGATCTTATTATACTATTTAATTTATAAAATTAATCATATAATACATCTATAGTACTTAATGAACAAAGCTAGTATAAAATAAATTTTAATTCTTGAATGTTTTTTAAATATATTCTTTGAAATGTAGAACAATGGGAAGTGTAGTTAAGCTGAACACATGTCTGATAGTTTATTTAACAATCTGAAGTGAATACACAGTGATGCATCAATAAATGTTTAGATTATATTATTTGACTTAGTAGGTATTGATATAATATTTTGTAACTTTGTGGTGTTGTTTGAACACCATAATCGTTATTTTATAAAATGTTCCAGAAACATGATTAATAACGCTATAATAGGACAGTGCAATTTCGTTTGCTACATGTTATTATTTGATATTTAATGACTTATATTTTATATTTAATATTTTATGACTTACCAGATTCACCACAACTGAAACGGCGATCTGGCTGAGGTGGAGACGTGCGTCGATTCCTGATGAATTGGTTATCGGTGATGTAGACTTTTGAAACCTATATTTTACCAATGCTGGTGTTCACCAAGAATTGTGATCTACTTTAAGCAATACTTTGAGTGTGTAAAAACAGTAATTGGAAAGCAGACAGTATTCGTAAAATGTCTCTGACAAAGAATAAAATCACAACCAATGCAAGTGCAGTATTCAGTGAAATGTCCGCAACTGCTTCTGCACATGTGTTGGTTAAGAAACAACAAAAGAGAACATCGCATTCCAAACCTTCGAGAACGATTCCTGTGCGTCAAACATTGACCAGTAGGCTTCGCATGATAAATGCAGCTTCTATTGTTTGTTCAGACAAAGCTTCTGACAAGGCTGACACGCGCCAGTTTTCGCGCGCAGCTAAACCTCCAGTTAGAAGACCTGAGTTCCAGAAGGCTGTCGCGAATGGGAAACAATCTTCGGACTTTACTGGAACGTTCTCTGAGAGGATGGCAACCGTAAAGAAAAGTCGTGCCTTTTACCAACAGAGGAACAAAGAAAGAAGGCATTCGAAAGAAAATAAACCACCACACATTCGCATTTCACAGGAATTTAGAGTTTTAAACATTGAATCTGGTTGTGTATCTTCAAAATTAAATCACAAGAATGCTGTAGATAAATGTGATAAGCCAAAGATCATTTATAAGAAAAATGCTTTATTAAACCGAAATATAAATAAATATGTATGTACCACAATTAAGAATAATCAATTGCAGCCTTGGGACAAAACACCTTTTAAATGCAATCACAGTGGAAATTATGTTAAATCTGGGAGAAAAACACCTTCGAAGACAAATGTACTAAGTAACAAAAAAAGAAGACTCTGCAATGTGGCTAAAGAAGACAAAAATTCATTCGAGAGTTTTCATATTCAAATAACTAAATCAGTTAAGCGGTCATGCCCCATTACAACAGAAGGCAATGAAGCCGAGGACGAGTTACCAAAAGCGCAAAGGAGAAGCAAAGAGGTAGTCGTGGTCAGCACATCCGATGATCAATTTCTCCACAGACACTTCTTCCAGGACAGAAACAATGCACCTGTGGCGTTCAACTCACGTCCACGTAACACCCCGTCCAAGGCACCATACGTCTCGGCTTCAATTTACTCAGACAGCATTAAAAGAGTAGAGGAGTGGCTTACGGGAGGGAAGTCAAAACACGGCTGTCATTTACATAATTCTGTTTTATATCAAAAGCACACTGGACATGACTCCAAAACAGATGAAACCACGATAAACACGGAGAAAGCTGTTGCATCGGAATCTGCAGATTCAATGAACTCATTTTCTTCGTATCGCAAGAAATGTTACGACGAAAAATGCATGCGTAGGCAAGCAGCAACGGTAAATATTAAAGAAAACGAACTTTTGAACAACCCACACCCAAAGACATTTACACATTCTAGCAATGTTCATGACGAACGCGATGCTAATCTTGCTGTTTCTAAATCTCGTCCTTGTGTAAAAGATCTTACAAAGTACTGGGAATATTTAACAGCTCTTGAGAAAGCTAACAGTGATTTTAGTGACGAGGTAAACAGTTATGGACAGGCAATACTGAGTGGCGCTGATGTGCAGCTCGTCGAGAGAAACTTACGTGACCTCGAAGGGAGGTTTCGTTCCTTGCGAATGTCTTGGCGGGGTGAAAACTCTCTAACCGCGTAGGCAAATAAACGCCGAAAGTTCACTTGAGCACCACGCTGCGGAAGGGAGCGCTGCTCTGAATTAAGACAATCATTAGACTAACATTCGTTCAAAGAACATTATAGTGTTCAAGTATCCTAGAGACACAATGCTGAAAAGTTCATTAGTTTCTCCGAAAATTGTGAAAATATTTTTACTCGCATTTTTAACCTGTAGATGTTACATATTTATTATAAGTGTAAGAAGTTAAGTCAATAAACTAATATAAAAACAATATTTCATTAGTAGATATATTTAAAATAAAAACAATCGTAACCTAAAGCTCTAAATGCAGGTAAGAATGTAACAAATTAATTTCTAGTTAAACTTACAATTAAATGAAAACTAACCTCCACAATTAACCAGCACCAAGAATTAGCTCGTAGGATTTTATTTCTTCTCGTTCGACCTAAGATCTTTCAAGAGATGTCAGTTTTACGTGCTGAGCTTTTTTGGGATTTGGGCAATTCTTTACAAATTGAGGTCAAAATACTCTGTCTCATTTAATTAAATAGATTTATTTAAATGTTAGTGAATATTAATCTTGATTTGTTTAAGATAAACAGTTAGGATCGCCATGTCGAGTAATAGAAAGGACAACGGGAATGATATTATTAGTTTAGGCAGGTTTAAGCGTATCTTAGGGAAATTTCCATTTGATTCGACGAGGGATGGTCGCTGTTCGGTCTAAGGTATTAATGCGAACGAGGGTATTTACATCGGGGTAAAAACGAGACAGCACAGATCTAACTTCATGATGGCCTTTTGAGCCTGACAAAATAATTGAATTCAAACACAATTTTACACTTACATTACAAAAAAATAATATATCATTTATTTTTGTAAAGATATAAGCATTCTTAACAAGACGTTTGGAAGGAAAAGTAAAAAATACTAAATGTTTTTTGAATTCGCCAAAATATTGTGAAACAGCTACCTGTAGCAGGACAAATTTTACTATCGATTATGTGTACATTGAGGACCTACTGTAGCCACATAGTGTATAGTATAGAAAAAATGTTTACATCCCCAAAATATCAATTATATAACATACGCGTGGATATTGGGCATCAGCGAAATCAAATATTTGCATTTTTCTGTCAAACTCGAATAGGTTCATTGATCTTTTATATTTTAGTCTTCTTGCTTACCTAACAAAATCACTTACACATTTCACATAGCCGGAGACTACTTGGTTTTCGGTCAATTGGTGCGTATATTCGAGATTCGCAAATATACTTTACTGCAGTCCCCCAATGTTCACGTTTAAAGGTGGTAAAAGCTCGATACTATTTTCATATTTTTATAACTAGTGGCGTAATAGAAAATAGCTTTTGGCCCTAAATTTTACACATAAAGATAACTGATAAGTTTGAACTCAAGATGAATGAGTTTCAATTCAAGAGAGGAGTGATATTCAACAAAGTTTCAATTAAAAATGAATGGACATAATTTATATATATATATATATATATATTATATGATATAATATTAATATATAAATTATGTCCATTCATATTTTTTGGTATATATAAGTATATATAATATATATATACTATATATATATATAATACAAAATATGGATACTGATGAAGGTAGGCAATAGCGGGCACATACGGTATTAACAATCTTCCATAAAATACCATAACATTTATTAAGGAAATATATGACATCTTACATTGGACAGTTATGATTTTTAAATTGTAATCAGTTTTACAGGATAGAGCAAAACATCTCATAATTGCCACTATTTTTTTTCTTAATGAAAATCTGTCAACAAAAAGAATATAAGTTCACAGTCTATTTACAATCAGATAAATACACTTACCGCCCACACATGCATCGCATTCAACCTTCATGTAGTCAATAACATTGCACTAGTTTGGTGTCACAAATAAAGGAGAACCTCATAATCTTAGTCATATTAAAAATCTTCAAGAATGACATTTTAAGTCAATTTAACAAAAATAGTTTCAACTTTACTGCAAAATGATTAGAATAAACTCATTTACATCTATTTTATACATATGATTCAATAGATATGCCAAATATTAATAAATTAAACTGATACTGCTAAAAATTGATTTACACTTTTTCATGAAATATCGAAAAAAAAATCCGAGACTAGATTTGTTTCACAGCTTATAATTTCACTCATTAACATTGAGGTATTTATTTCAAAGAACAGTACTATTTAAAACAACAATTATAACACATGTATTTCTGTTGGATACCATAATTCTAGGCTCAAAATAAGTTAATAATATTACCTCCCTGGACATCATACACTGCTACAATGTATGTACACAAATATTGCACTGATATTAAGGATCACGTAACATAATGAACCTTTACACTTTAAATAAACACATAAACTAGTATCTGAGATGTGTTTCGTACTCTGATCTTGAATGATCTTGGTGGAAAAAGTCACTAACGGAGCTCTTACACGAGTTCGACGAAAAGTACTAGTACAGACATCATGCTTGAATAAAACGTATGAGTTATATTTGGTGATACCTCTTCTTTCTCTGGGAGAAGTAAATATTTGTGTGAGTGTTTTTACGGAAAGAAGGAGTTCATGAACAGTTTATTACAGAAAAGAGGAATTCTAGAAACGATACAATATGACTCCGAGTTTCTCTATTCCGGGAAAATTTTAAAACAAATTTTCTCAACCTCATCTGCATTCCGTACTGTCTGTTCAAGTTAGTTTTAATTCTCTGAAGAGTATTCATTGACTAGATTTAACTTTATTCAATTCGGTTCAGAGAAGTGTATCTGACTAGAAGAACTGCATTTATTCAGGAAGTAAGTACAGCTTGGACTTCAAGAATTGAATTAATATTCTTGTCAATTGAACCAGCGATGGCACGAACTATAATACAGCACAACTGGGATATCTGCATCTACTGGATAACATTCAAGATGTTTTGTGTTTTTTCACCCGATGAGTGATAGGATTTGTGTCATCAATCATTTAAGGATATTTTGAAAATGAAAAAAAAAATAGTTTGAAATAAGAGCTCGATTTGCGAAGTTTTCAATTCACGACATTAAATAAGACATTCCATGAAAGAATTACTAATGGAATTCTATTTATGTTATACATTTGTCATGTGCGGAGCTCCTAAGAATTATTTAGGATATGTAGCGCCTCATTATAAATAAGTTTGACTTACAAGTTTAATTATTCCGTTTTCGTTTTCCGATGCTGATATGGTGCACACGTTCATATTATTAGTGTACACAGAATCATCAGAAAATAATGTTACCAACCCAATACTCATCTACTCCACTGTCAATATAGATGATACAGTTAGGTTAATATTTACTCCATCTGCACTGCTACCATTTTTTGGCAATCTTCAGAAAGTAAATTTGAAGGTGCTAACAGTTACATGGAGTGTCTCGCTTACTCTTTGTAGAGCACAAAGGCGACACACATCCAGACCAAAACCTAACTGCTGATTTTGAGCCCTCTCGCACGGATTTCACGGCAATTGCATTTCTTATTTACCTCTCAGATATTTTAGGGTTCCAGTGCTAATCAATATCCTTACAATGGTACAGTGGTAGTTTTGTTCAGTCAAAACATGTTCGTATAAACATTACAAAATCCTAAGAGCAGTTGAAACTGAGTTGGAAACCTTACTTCCCGAATCCTCCTCATTCCCCGGTGCGTTTCCGCAGAACAGGCCGCCTAGTTGTTCATGTTGTCGGCGGTGAGCGTGAGCGTGGTGAGCACGCTCCGGCGGCTGGGGTTTACGCCCAGGTTCTCCCAGTTGATCCACGAGAGCCGCGCCGTCAGGTCTGCAACATTCACAAGAAGTTGCTTATCATTCGCCTCCAGGGTGGCTCTTGGGCAGAGCAATAGCTTCCCGTGATGTGGGGTCGGGTACGTTGCATGGCGGGGCAAAAATACAATTGTGGCTGTCCTTTAAAATCTCAGTTGCTGTAGCTGGGTGACGGAGAGTCAACTAGTTGCAATGAAGGGAATATGTCATGTATGCCACATGTCTCTCTTATCCCCCAAGGAAATTAAACTAGGACCAGGCTTGGAGGACGTTAGCAAGACGGCAAAGTTGGACAATCTACCCAAAAATGTCAAATATATTACTTATTATGTACATTATTATCATTACTTCTAAATATCCAACGACAGATGTTTAGTGTTGGCTAAATACATGGTGAATTATTGTAGGTGGCAAACAAATACATCATTTCATTCTACTCAGTTAGATGAACAAATATTTCTTACCACATTTTGCTGAAAAACGATTGTTTTCGACAGCAGTTTCGTGACTCTCTTCCTCTATAACGTCCAGACGTTTGAGTTTAAAATGCGCTGAACCTCCCAGGATAGTTCTAAGTATTGTAAGAAAAATCTACTTTCTTCGCATTCAAACGAACAAAACCGAAAAATTGCAACTTGACGTCGAAATTCTAGTGCACTCACTGTTTACAAATTACGTCAATGATCTCTTAGAAATGCGCATAAAGTTGCAGTTGCACAGGCTACGATAAAATCGAAAAATTACAAAACACATTTCGTACGGGATTCTAGGCTTGTGATGTGAAAGAAACAATTTATTTTTGTATAGCATCGTAAGCTTTCAGCCAGTAGAAAAGCAATTCAACTTAACTGATTGCAAAATAATCAAAGAATAATAATGGAATGTGATGACAGTGGCAGGATTTTTTACATTAACTACTCATCTAGGTCGAATTGAGCCGCTGTCTGGAGGAAAATTCTAGCAGTCGGCTGCTCTGATGGGTAGTTCTCCGCGTTTTGTCTGATTAACATCAGGTGAATGCCGGAGCAGTACCCGAGCAAACGGGCCACGGACCGCGCGCGATCTTTCCCTGCTCTTCCTTATCGTATCATCTGTTAGTTACACACACTCATGCAGTACACTACCACTCATGCCAGGAGGCCGATCGGGAGCTTAGAACTGTTCTGGCTGGAGCGGTGTCCCGCTGGCGGGAGATACCTGGTTTGGGAAGTCCCACAGGTAGGTCGGCGCGGGACATCACCATGTAGATAGATCCCCGCCATCACCGTGATTATAAAACGTGCCTTGCACCTACGGGACCAACGACCTTAGCAGTCGGAATCACTAATGCATATTTTTTAAAAGCATGTCTCCCGCCGCAGCGTGGGAGGGGCGAGTGGGGAGAAGGGGGCGGGTCTCACCGCTGGTGTTCCACTCGGCGCGCTCGGCGGCCTTGATCTCGCCGCGCAGGCACTTCTCCACGTAGGTGAGCGGGTCGTAGTCGGCGGTGAGCACCTCGCGCAGCAGCGCGATGTACGCGATGGCCAGGCGAAGCGTGTCGATCTTGGAGAGGCGCTTCTCGTAGGGGAACGTGGGCACGTGCACCCGCAGCTCGTCGAAGGCCGAGTTGATGCTGCTGAGGGAACAACGCGCCCTTGAGGAGGCGGCGCCGCGGCGCGCGCTCCGCGCCAAGCGCGACTCTACTCGCACTCATTACACGACCCTGCTCAGTCCGTCCGTGCGTCTACATCCGTCTGTTTACACCCGTCCGTCCGTCTACGTCCGTCCGTCCACTTCCGGCCATCTACGACCGTCCGTCCGTCTAGGTCCGTCCGTCTAGGTCCGTCCGTCTACGTCCGTCCGTCTACGTCCGTCAGTCTTCATCCATGCGTCTGACTATGTGTCTGTCTATGCATCCGTCAGTCGTTTGCCCGTCTGAGTATCTTTCTTAATAAGCCCCAATCCATCTGACAGAGGACGCGGCCCCTTCAATCAATGGCTATTGTATTTTTGGAGGGTACTTTACACAATGTCCTGAGGATATCTTCAATTTTTTTCGCAATCAAATTTCGCATCAAATTTTTGGATTAAAGGTTTTATCATGAAGGAGATAGTATACTCTTTTTAAAAATGGCACAGATTCGATTTTCTTTAAATTCTCTTAATTTTTGGAAATTGCGGTAGTTCAAAAATTTTTGGCGCCTTCTGACAACTCCAATGGGGTGACAAATAGAGATTTTTCTCCTCAATGAAAACTGATCTTCACAATTAAATCTTTAAATGAGATCATCTAGATTTTTTCAAAATACGAGTTGATTCGTGTAATTTTGCATAAAGTAAAGAATATTTAAAAAACAATATTTTCTGAAAAACGACTTCAATTTTTACTTTTAGCTTTTAGTACGGATGGCACCATGCACACTGAATAATATGACATCAACGCCATTTTGAAGAATTCTTTTAAATTTCCACAAAATATACAACAAAATTACACATTATCCCGATTGCATCCCGCGGCCAACGATTCCCAAGGGTTTCACCATCCTCCCCGAAAAGGCAAGCCCGATTGCATCCCGTCTGCTTTTCCTCCAGAGTTCAGGGAATACACCTGGAGCTCGAAAGGGACCCATTCAGGAAGTTCTTTTCCAGACGATACTACCTGTGTTTTGGAGTGATGAATTCGAAATTTATATAGAATGCCGAAACAAAGGACTTCTCCCGTTTTGGTCTGAGGGCCAAAAATCATCATTTTTTATTGCACGCTGTCACCTAAACAAAATTAAAATATTAATACTTTAGGAAATTTTGCCAACATTATTTTTTTAAATAGTGTCTGATTCAACAAAAAACAGTTTTGGAGATATAAGGAAAAAACTTTAAAAAGTACGATTTTTTTCGTATTTCTCCGTGAAGTCGACCTTTTTGACGTGGAATACAAAATTTGAACTCAGCTCTCCAAAAAACACATTGAACCGCTGCGAATAAAATTTCCGGATTTTTCCGTGGTTGCCTAGTGGCTGGAATAGAAGAGCTTGTCCAGGCATTTTTGCTTCCGAGATCGCCCATTCACCTTCTTAAATTTTCAGGATTTAAAAGAAAAAGAGACGTGCCCCTTAGAAATTTTGTTTATTTTGTATTACTCGAAAATAGCAATTGCCCGATAAAGTGAGGAGTACTTGCAATTTCGGAATTAAACTGATCTGAATATTTTTAATTTAGCGAAACTGATTTCTACGTATTCGGGAAGAGGCAACGGGGG